TATTTTGAGCTTTTTGAGGAACCTCCATACTGCTTTCCACAATGGTTGAACTAATTTACATTCCCACCAGCAGTGTAGGAGGGTTCCCCTTTCTCCACAACCTCGCCAACATTTGTTGTTTGTCTTTTGGATGGTGGCGATCCTTACTGGTGTGAGGTGATGTCTTATTGTGGTTTTAATTTCGTTTCTATGATAACTAACGATGTGGAGCATCTTTTCATGTGTCTGTTGGCCATCTGAATTTCTTCTTTGGAGAACTGTCTGTTCAGCACCTCTGCCCATTTTTTAATTGGATTATTTGCTTTTTGTTTGTTGAGGAGCATGAGCTCTTCATATATTTTGGATGTCAAGTCTTTATCGGATCTGTCATTTATGAAAATATTCTCCCATACTGTAGGGTACCTTTTTGTTCTATTGATGGTGTCCTTTTCAGCTTGATATAGTTCCACTTGTTCATTTTTGCTTTTGTTTTCCTTGCCCGGCGAGATATATTCATGAAGAAGTCGCTATTCATATCCAAGAGGTTTTTGCCTATGTTTTTTTCCACGAGTTTAATGGTTTCATGACTTACATTCAGGTCTTTGATCCATTTTGAATTTACTTTTATATATGGGGTTAGATAGTGATCCTCCCCTAACTTTTCATTTTAGCAAATGTCAAACCTGCACAAAAGTTGAGAGAATTGCACCAGGACTGCCCACATACCCTCACCCAGATTCACCAGTTGTTAACATTTTTGTCACATATGCTTTCTCCATTTCTCCCCACATAAAAGTTTTAAAAATGCATGGACTGATTTGTTTCCTGAATCCATTAAAAATATTTAAGTAATCTTTAAAATTTAGAATCATTTTAGATTTACAGAAGTTGCAAAGAGATTTACAGAAAAAGTTGCAAAGACACCCTACACATGATTTCTGACTGTTTCCCTTATTGTGGACATCCTACTTTTCTATGACATATTCGTCACAATTAATGACCCGATATTGCTCCATCATTATTAACTATACTCCATGTTTTATTAGGGTTTTGTTCCTTTTTCCTTTATCTGGTGGGCTCACTTGTAAACTTAAAAAAATTAAAAATAGGTAAGTGTCCATGGCAAACCCTTATGACTGGCCAAACACAATTGTAGCTCGATGTCTTGCCTGAGGCCTGCTTTCTCTTTGTTAAAAAGGGAGGTTAGTAGATGTTAGTGAGGTGTTAAAGTTAGGTTAGCACAAAGCTGAGACTCTGTCCCAGGCCAAGGGGGATTGGAAGAGAATTGCCACAGGAGTAAATGACTTCACCAGCATTGTTAGTGCCCAGCCTGTGTGTCACCTAATGTCCTGTGTGAGTCCCACTTTGGGAACTTGCATGGTGTCCCTAAGCCACACCCTCAGATGGCTGGAACCCCAATTCTGAGACTGTGGGGCTCCAACATGGAGCTTTCTTCTGCCCTGGAGTAGGGGGTGGAGGGGCTGGGTGTCTCTACTGGCTCCAGGCTGTGGAGACGTCCTTTGTCTTCTCTATAGTAACTCCCCCTGCTGAATTCTTGAAGCCACAGGTGGTTGGCAAGTGCACAGAGAACGCACTAGAGGATTCCATTGCTAGCAAGGGAGAAGCACCTCAGGAGGTCTGCTTGCCGGCTGTGTTCCCGAGACGTGGTCAGACAAGTAGTCACTGAGGGGACCCAAACTGTGCTTTCTCAGCAGAGCTTTGCAGAAGGTCTGAACTTGCTTACATTCATTCCTTTAAAACACTTCAAATGGTTTTCATGTTTGATAAGCTAGAATAGGTGTCTCCTGAAGGCAAGTCATCACATCCTAATACTTTCCTTTCAAATGTATACTTGCTTTCCCCATTTCTGGAGACCTAAGCTTGCCACAGAAGGCAGTTCACTCTGGTAAGTCACCACTGGCTCAGGGGACCAAACATCTAGCAAGAGGTGATCAAACTGGAGTGTCTACAGAATTTCTGGTTTCACTCCTCAGGATTGCTGTTTATTCCTCAGCTGACACATTGTAGAATTGCCTGTGTTATACCAAGGAGGCAAATGGCTGGATAAATGGGATGTAGTGTCCCCAGAGGAGGAAGCAGGTTGGGACATAAGTAATAGACAAATCCATTTACATTTTTTGGAATGAAACTATCACCAACCCTAAACCTTTTTGCTTCCCTCTTATCCAGAGGTAACAACACAGTTGGGTTTAAATCCTTTACCACTATTTTCCTGGTTTTATGTGGGTTTCAGGAGTATTTCATTTTATGTGTATGTTAAATTCGGGGGGAGGATTACACAAGATTATACCGAACGTGTCATTCTGACACAGTTTTCCCTCAATAATATGTCCTGGAGACCCATCTCTCTTGTTACATACAGACATAACTCACTCTTTAAATTGCTGCCTGGTGAGCCATAGTACAATCCCTCTGCATTCTATTTCACCTGTCATTATTTGATGGGTATCTGTTATTTCCAATTGTTTCCTACCAATTTTTTTTTAGCAAACCTTTATGTACACACCTCCTTACGCACATGCGTAAGGGACATTCTGGATTGGTAGCATATGCTCATGTCTGCCTTGCAAAGTTCTTGCCAAATTACCCTTCAGAGTATGTTTGTGTGTTTATGGGGAGGGGTGTCAGTTTCTTCTTTGGGGCTGTTTATTTCTGGTTTCTTGTCTGCAGTGGCTGCAGGGTGGAAGGGAGCCAAAGGAGGCAGAGAGAAATTCATCTCTAGGTGTTACAGGCTGGGTGGTACCACAGGGCCGGGCCTCCCGGTGGCGGGCAGTCAATGGGGGCCTTGTTCCCAGGTCCATCCCTGAGCAGAATCCGAAAGTCAACGTGCTGAGGAGACAAAGGGAGCCGTGCGTCATGCCTGGACCCCAGCCCTCGACTCAAAGACACCATCAAGTTTGTAGGAGTCGTACATGTACAGATGTATTGGGGCAGGGTGGGGGGCAAGCCCTGAAATAGTTAGGCTGGGAAAAAGAAGGAAAAAAAAAAGGCAGTTAAAGGGGCTGACCTCTAGCTGTAATGATGTAAAGGAAAGAGGCCAAGCTAAAATGCATCCTAGGAGAAGTGGGAAGTGCAGAGGGGCGATGGGGCTCGGGAGCATGCAAGACCCGAGGAAAGGGCGCGGAGATCAGAACCTGAACAGAGGAGGGGCCGGCTGGGAACGAGGGAAGAAAGGGGGGAATGGGGCACGAGTGAGGGGGGCCATCCGCAAGTGGGGCGGTAAGAGAGGAAGGGGAGGCTGCACCCCTGTCTGTTTGCGATTAGCATGGAGCCCGGTGCAGAATGGAGTAAACAGAAACTTCCAGGCGTCCCCACACCCCCCTCTGAGCAAAGCAGGAATCAGATGCTCGGTGATTAATCGTGGAGAGTTCAGGACACGACCACAAACGCCGCGCGGACTTGAAATTAGCTGCCTTTTCCCGTCCCCTTGCCAAGATGGGAGTGGGGGGTGGGACGGGGCGGGGTGGGGGCGCCTGCTGGGGGCCAGCATGGAATTCTCCCTGGCGGAGCTCAGAGTGACACTGACGGGCGATCTGCCGCGTCCAGAGCAGCAGGCAGCATCCGGGGGGAGCGAGGCCGGCCCGGGGGCCTCAGGCGGGCTTCCTGGAACCCCGGCCCCACGGCCGCCTCCACCCTGACACAGGCCAGATAAGAGCCGGGCCGCATTATCAGAGGCCGGCAGCGCACTGTCCCCGCGGCACACGAGGAAGCCGGGACGGGGGGCTCCTCCGAGCGTCTTCTGAGTGGCCAGGCTGGACAGGCTTTGCTGGGACCTCGCTCGTCTCCTGCAGCGGATGGGAGCCACCCCTGCTGCAGCCATAGAGGAAGCCAGGCTGCTTCGAGGGGGATAGCGTGACAAGGTCCTGAATGTGACACGGTCCTGAATGTGCAGACCTGCTGGACGGTGAGTGCCAAGCGACGGCTCCATGCGGGGCTGGTGTGTGGATCAGACTCCAGAGCAAGGGCAGTGAGAGGAGGGTGGCCCTACCCCACGTTCCAACCTGGAGCTCCGGGAGCCAGAGAAGGAGCCTGCGTGCACGCTCAGAGGGGTCACGGTGTCTTGCTGTGTGGCCTTGGGCAAGTTCTTTCCCCTTCTGGGCCTCTGTCTGTCCATCCCTAAAATGGAGTGATTGAAGGAGGTGATCTTTAAGAGGCTCTTACTATGACTGCTATTTCTGGTGTGTCTGCTGGGTGCCAGGCACCATGTTAGGCATTTGTGGGTCATTCACTCAAGGCCCCACAAGTCCAGGTGGGATAGATGTTATTATTATTATTATCCTCATTGCATACTGAGCAAACCGAGACTCAGAGGAGTGAAGTGACTTGCCCAAGGTCACCCAGCTGGTCCGTGGCAGAGATGAGAAGCAGATCTCTGTCTTTCTTCTTTACTTTCAGTAAACTCTCCACTTCCAGTGGTCTGTGGTCTGTGCTCTGGGACTCTGTGATTACCCCAGGAAGCTGAAGGAGGACAGGGTGAGGGGAGAGAGCTCAGGTACCTCTTACCTGTGGGAGGGAACCAGAGAGGTCAGAGGGAGGCAGCAACAGGCTGAGCAGCCTTCAGTGGCTTGAATGGTAAATTGGCCTGGGTTGGGGGCTCCCACCTGGAATGGAGAGCGCCTGAAGCTGTTTGGTGTCTTGTGAGAGAAGAGGGTTAATATTAGCGGGGATGGAGGGAGCTGGGGGTGGGGAGCATGGCACATGCCTCCACTGGGTTTTGTTCCAATTTTGTTTTGCCTTTTCCAAAATCTGTTTCAAATCATTCCGGGCCCCCACTGCTCCTCTGGACGAAACAGAATTGTGAAACACATACAGTGTTTTCCACATGCCTCCCCTGGGGGGATCACGTATTAATATTATCATAGGCTATTTGCATATACATGCCACAGCTGTGGCATCAGCAGCCAAGAGATAAGATGCAGATAAAGTCAGCTAGTGTCCCCCTGGCACCAAGGAGGAGGGTGCATGTCACACCCCAGGGCCAGGAGCTACCCCGTAGGGCTGTGGCAGGTGGGAAATCCCATGGGTGCCAGGCATCTGGGCTGAGTTGGAGGTCCCGGCATCCAGATGTGGCCTCCTCTTCTCTCTCCCCTTGGGAAATTCTATCTGGTGGCAGCTCAGTACTCACTCAGGCCTCCTTTGCTTTCAGGGATGGGCTCAGGCCTTCTGCCTTGGGCTTGAGTTGGGACCTGAGCAGTAGTCCCAGCTCCAGGGGCACCAACTTGTTCCGGAAACCCATCGGTTCTGGGTAACCTGGGGTGGTTCATCACCGTACCCAGTTCTGCCCTTGATTTTCCTTTGTAACCTTGACCAAGTTGCTTCCCTTCTCTTGGCCTCTGTTTCCTCATCTATATAATGAAGGGATTATTTCAGGAAATCTCAAAAATCTCTTTGTAACTCTAAAATTCTGTGACTGTTTGGACAGCAATTAAGTTCTAAACATGGGTGAGGGTATCTGTGAGGAAGACGAGCTGAGAGAGGCCACCATCCCCCCGTGAACCATGCAGGGCATCAGGGCAGGCTCCAGGGAGGGCTGGCATCCAGGTGGGCTGGGGGATGCCTGCAGTGCCACGTTACTGATGTTGGTGCAACAGTCTTGCAGGCTCTGAAAAGCCTAATGAATTACTTGAAAGCACAGCCTGGTCTCGTGGCTTAGCTGCTGTGCGGGGTGATTTCACCCAGATGTCTGATGGTTACAGAGCCCTCACCTACTCATCTTTGGAAGCTCAGCATCGCCCCCAACACTGTGTCCCCCAGTTCTTTCTGGGGGTCTACAAAGGGGTACCTTACATGTGTTCACAAACTGGTCTCTTGCCCTATTTACCCTCTCCTTGGAAGCCTCTTGGAGAAGCTTCACAGTTGCCACTAGCCCTCTGAGCACTTCCAAGGCTGCCACCTCGAGGGCCCGAGCTGCCCTGGGTTCTGGTTAGAAGCAGAGGGAACGGCTCCCTCTCTTAACTGTGACACTCTTTGCCATGTGGTCCCTACACAGGGTGTGCTGGAGCCAGCTTGTACTGGCTCGTGACAGCCCATTGTCATATTTTTAGGAATGTGCTGAGAAGAGTCATTCTTAAAAATTAAGTTTTGTAAACCTAAAACTAAATTATATTAAAAACAAAAGTAATAAGTGCTCAAAACTTATCATTTTCCATTTTTAAACCTCTATCTTACTATTATCTCTGCTCCTGAGGTTATTTACATTTAATGTATCTGTTGATGGAAATACCAGTAACAGTGCTAGGGACTTGCCCCGATTCCGTTCCTTGTGACTTCATGTGGGCAGCCGGAACCGGCAGCAGTGGGAGTACGCACGCTACGGGAACTGGCAACTAGAACAGCTCAGGGTTTAACTGACTGTTCTGTTGATTGTCAAGATTTGAGAAAGTGAGACAGGAACAGTTCGTGATACAGGGAAAACATAAAAGTGTGTTATCGCTATAGCCTTTATGCTGTGAATAATACCAATTCATTGACAAATGAGCGAAGTTCCTCATACTCTGTCTTATCACTTTTGTCTTACTCCTTAAGGTAAAGGAAACTATACACCAACATTCTGGAAGAATCCCACTGGCTCATCAATTATAACCATAGGTTGACTACAGATACAATTGTAGCCGTATCTGCAGGAGGCAAAAATCAAGGAAAGCATTCTGTGTGGATCAATTCACCCTATGAAATTTACCAAAGGGGGTGGTATAAAGTTTAATTATACTTGTTCATTGTGTGCTACCTACCCTTCACATCAATGCAATCTGTAGTAAACCTAAGTACATATGTGCAGGTGTGTGTGCATGTATTTGTACACACATTTGTATATACACACCTGTGTGCAAGTACAGATGCACACACAGCTACACGTGCCCCTGGAAAACTGGTTGCTAACCCTTTGCCAGCATACCTACTGGCCCCACAACATAAATGTCTGTGCCCAGGGTCTCAGAACTCCTGTCGTTGGAATGCCTCGGCCCTCATCAGAGTGATTCAAACTTTAGGCCCTGGGCCTTGGGACACAAATCCCTCAACTTCTCTGTCTCACCTAAAACATCAACAGTCAAACTCCTCTCTAAGCAGTGGAATGGATGCAGAGATGGATGGGGTAGAACGTGTTGTTTACAGGGCAGCATCTGGGCCCCAGCTTAGGCAGCGACGAGGGCCCTGGGCCACACTCCTGTTTGCTGTCTGGCATGTGTGGGGCGCTTCTGGCGTCCCTTCGGCGGCAGCGAGCTCCCTGTTAATGCTATTCTGTTTGAGATCTTGCTCTTTTCATCCTTGATTTTCATGTGTAGTGCATGATTCTCTAACAGAAACAGCATCGTGCAACAAGCAGAAGGAACAGCTAAGCCAAACCTATAGGAAAGTTAAGAAAACTTTCTATTTTTAGAAACCCTAGGAGCCAGGTGGGCCCTTTCCAGTTCTCCCAAGCCAGCAAGCAGAAGAGGAAAATGTTTCTCCTTCCCAAGTTCCACCTCTTTTACAGTCTAGGCCAAGGAGGAGGCCCAGGTGGGGGACACTGGCTGGGGGAAGCACAACCGCGATGGCCCAAAGGGGGTCAAGCCCACAGCAATTTCAACAAGAACCTAAAATGGGTTTTATTATTTGGTTTTGTGTGGTAGGAAGGACAACCCTGAGTTTAAATCTCAGTGGCTCCCCCTCCAGGTAACCAGTTAAAAATCAGGTGTCTATTCTTCACTGTTCATCCACTCATATTCATTTATTTTTGTCTTGGTGACTATAATTTTCAAAAATGGGATCATTCTGTGCATTCCATCCTGCACCTTCCTCTCTTCATCTGCTGATAGATCCTGGGTTAGTGCACAGAGAGCTAAAACATTCCTTGCAATGCCTGCCTAACAGAAGGCGCGGGAAGTTGTAAAGGACCTCTTTCGATAACCACCTCTCTACTTTCTAACTGGGTCTCAAACTAACTGTCTTGACCCCAAAACACACGAGGAGAGCCCAGTGGCTTCCAGTTCCCAGTGAGGAAGAAATTCTCTGGGCTCTACCACCAACCCGTATCCAGAGTCTAACTGCATCCCTGTCACCTCCACTGTCCCTGTGCTGGTCCAAGCGGCCATTACCTCTCTCTGGACTATTGTAGCTGCTTCCTCACTGGTGTCTCTGCTTCACTGGCTTCTCTGATGGTCTGTTCACCTGCAGCCAGCAGGCTCCCGTGAAAACCAACTTGGACCCTGTCCCTCCTCTGCTCAGGACAAGCCCCTGCCCCCAGTCCCGGCTCCACATCACCCAGTCACAAACTCCTCAGTCCTACAGCCTACGTTGGGTTCAAATCCTGGCTCCCCTACCACCATGCTGTGTGACTCTGAGCAGTTCGCTTTCCCTCTCTGCACCTCTCCAATGGCAAGAGCTCACTTTTCCAGAAGCCTCATTAACTGTGTTTTTCTCTTGCCTTATTGTTTCCTGCTGGGTTGTAGGTGCATTTCTGAAGTATTCCTGGAATATGCTTGTTGGCTTAACCACCAGGGCTCATCTCTGAAGCCAAGGGGAAATCAGTTTTGCCCAAACCCATGCCTGTGCACCAGGGCATGGGTTCACAAAGCCAACTGCTCCTCCTAGGAGGAGGGAAGTGGAGCTGGGCCACAGGAGGGCAAGTACCCATTCCAGGTGGGGCTGGTTTGGCCTTTGTAACCGTCTCATTGACAGAAGGCTGACCTGATTGAGTGGTAACCAGCACAGGCGCCTTTGGCTTCATCCATGTGAGGCTGACAGCCATGCACGGGCAGTTGCACACAGCGTGGCTGGAATACCCATTCCAAAGGGTGATTCCCAGGGATAAGGCATGTTTATACGTTTTTTAGGGGAAAAAATTCCATTTCTGTTGCCAATTAGTTCTGCTTGAGAACAGCTTTTCTCAACACCAACACGCTGGCCGCCCAGCCTTGAGTTCTG